CCCAGCCACCAGCCCCTCCTGGCGGGGCGTGCTCTGCAGTGGCTGGGAAGGACAACACAACAACAACAAAACTACTTTCGTTCCAGCGCTGGTGACTCAGGCTGTGGGTCAGCAGCCGAGGGCTGTTGACAAGCAGGCACGGGCACAGGTAATGACACCCCGCTCGGGGTGGAGCTGCCCTGCCCAGCTCCAGCCACCCCGCTGGGGACTGCAGGTCCCTCCAAGGCTGTCATGTCTGTCAGGAGGGTCCTTCATGGTGGGAAGCATGACGGGGTCTGGGTGGAGGTCTCCCTCTCCTCTCCTCTCCTCCCCTCTCCTCTCCTCCCCTCCTCCCCTCTCTCCTCCCCCACCTCTCTTCTCTTCTCTTCTCTTCTCTTCGCTTCTCTTCGCTTCTCTTCTCTTCTCTTCTCTTCTCTTCTCTTCTCTTCTCTTCTCTTCTCTTCTCTTCTCTTCTCTTCTCTTCTCTTCTCTTCTCTTCTCTTCTCTTCTCTTCTCTTCTCTTCTCTTCTCTTCTCTTCTCTTCTCTCCTCTCCTCTCCTCTCCTCTCCTCTCCTCTCCTCTCCTCACCACCTCCCTGCCACAAAAGGGTCCACAACATTCTCGACCCATCCATAGAGAGCTGGGGAGGAGAGGTCACGGCAGAGCTCAGGAAGGGGCAGCCCAGGTGTCACCCCACAGCACTCGCTCCTTCGCTGGGTTGTGTGACACACCTTTTATTTAATCACCAGACGAGGATCTGGGTGCAAATGTGCCCCTTATGCAACGGGGTGAGTAAGATTCTGTGCTGCCTGCAGCCTCTCTTCCAGGCAGTGCTGGTGCCTTCTCCGCATGATGAACTTGAATGTCAAATGTTAATAACAAAACAAATTATCTCCACCCTACCATCAAGGTGTGTCACAGCTGATTCCTGTTTAACATCAAGGTTTCTACTGCTCAGGAATCCTTCCTGCAATCCTGAGCTCTGGCTGCATCAGTTCTGTGAGTGACTAAGGAATGACAAAAATCCTGAAAAACTTCATGGCATCTGAGCTCATCTTGATCCTCTTCCATGATTTGCTGGGATGGGAGGAAAGAACTGGAGCTCCAAAGATAGAATGGCTGGAGTAGTTCTTGCAAAACTAGCCTAACCCGACCATCAAAGCGCTTCCTTTAGGTAAGATTTCACCCCCACCAAGCTCACAGTGCATAAATAAAACTGTTTTTCAGAACAAAAACAGTGTCTCATACAATAGGATTCTGTATAGGTCATGAATGACACTCCCATTGCTGTAGCCACAAGCTCTTTTGCACATTCAACTGTTAAGGCTGATCAAACAGCATAAGAAAAGCTTTGGAGAATCATGAAGGAGCAGAAAAAGACATTCATTAACAATGGTTAATTCTGAGATTTTTTTACTCTGTTCAGGTTGCAAATGATTTAGGTTTAATTTTTTTATTCCTCCATTCCACAATAGCTTGGTAGTACCAAGGAACTGTGAATCTTCAAGTGTGAATCTTTTTAACTGTCCTTAGAAGAGCCTGAACAATGCTGACTGGTAGATATGCTCTCTTGCTTACAAGTGCCATAAGTCATTCCAGATCTCTGGAATCATCTCAGCAGTCATAGGCCTAATGTACAAGGAGAGGCCCTGGGTGGCCAGTCAGGCTTCAGAAGAGAAAGAGAAGGTGAGATCTTACAGTTGTGTTCAACTACCTTGCAGGAAGTTAGAAAGGAGGCCAGACTTCTTTCTGGAGGTGCACAGGGAAAGGACAAGAGGAAGCAGACTCAAAGGAAAATTTTATTAGATATATGATTAGATACAAGGAAATCAATTTTCACATGGCAGGAGTCAAAGACTGGGACAGGTTGCCCAGAGATGTTGTGTGTCTCCTCAGACTTACTCAGCAGGACATGACTCTCAACAACCTTACCTAACTTAAAAGCTTGCCCCACCCCAAACAGGGACTGGAGCAGATCAGATGCCCTCTAGAGATTACTCTCATCCTGCATTATTCTGTGAATCTGTGACACTATGGAAAAGGGTGGTAGCTGTTGATGGTGACAGTTTGCTACTTCATAATTATATATCCAAATAATAAAAAGGAGCAAGGTAATGACAGTGAAAAGATGGGATTTTATAAAACATAGAAGAATGTGTGAAAGAGCAGGAAGAGGGAGGGTATAAAAACTAAATTGGGAAAAAAAGTCAACATGAAGGAGCAGAGAAGTAAATAAAATAAATAGGAACAGATTCTCATTCCTACTGAAACACCTTCCAAAGAAGAGGGAGATGACAGGTACACCTGTTTCAGAGCACATTACTGCATATTACTCTGAAAAGAGGGAAATTGTGGCTTGTTGTAAGACTTCCCTTGGGGAGGTCCTTCTCAAAAATATATCCTCACTTTCATTTGACTGACAGATTTACATGTAAAAAGTAGCCTTTAAAAAAGATTCCAGTAACGGAAATAGTAATTAGTACACTAGTAATAATAATTCCTAAACACTTCAGAAGTTTAATCATAAGTTGCATAGTGGTTAATCTTACTACCAGTTCAAAATTCAGCCTGAAGAGGTAATTAAAAAAATACAGTATTTCTCTTTCTGCAAATTATCCACAGGGAGATCATATTCTTGTTCCAGCAACTGAGGGTTCCTGAGCTCTTTCTAAACCACCTCCAGGCAAGTGTTTCTCTGAGCAGTCAGGCTTGAGGACTTTCATGTTGAATTTCTGTGCCCGCTTACCTGGCCACTCTGTGTGGATTTTTCCTTCCTGATGGTGAAGGTGAACATGTTAGCTGCAGGAAGGATCCCACAGAAATACCATAAACCCAAGGAAAAACAACCATTTGGAAAGGTAAACTGATGATGGAATGAAAAGGGAAGCCACGAGACATTTTCCCTCCCTTCTCCTATCCTTAATGATAAGTCTGAGTAGAATCTTTGTCATCTGATGCTTGCACCATGCCCTCGTTGACTTGGGTTGGATGGTATCCATATTACAAAAAAATACCACAGGAACTGGAAATAATTGTTACCTCCTATAACATATGCAGATCCTGCGTGGAACACAACATCTCAGAGCAAAGCCTTTGATGTTTCTCAGTTATATAACCCCCAGGGAAGGAGGATGTTATTATTTGCAGAGCCCGTTCTCCCTACTTTCTGTATTGAAAGAAAAAAAAGAAGTGATCATAAACCAACAAACAAACACAGCCAACCAAAAACACTTGAGATATTCACTAAAGGAGCACCTAGAAATCAAACAGTTCTGTCATGACTCCTGTGTTATCCCGTGCATTTTCCAGTCCAGAAAATAGAGCTGGGTAAATCTGAACCCAGCTGTTGGTTTTTTTTCATAGAAGATGAATCAGTTACAGTCCCAGAAGTCAATGAAAACCGTACCTGATGGTGTGAGGTGGGGGGGGGGTTCTTCCTATTTCACATGCATAAAGATTAGAGACACCACCAAGTGAAATGAGATGCCCTCGTGGACAAGTGAAGATTTTTTGCTAGAAACAGTAGCACTAGAGATGTTTTTACTTGTGAAATATTTTACCTCCAGCGTACCCTTTGGTGGCCAGGGGAGAAGTGGCACTAATTACTAAAAGAGAGAAAAGTGCAGAGGGATTTGGATACATTCACAGTTCATCAGACAGGGCCCAAAACGGAAGTGACTGTTTTGTAATTCTTTGCCCTCTCATAAAGACGGAGCACGTTAATACCTTGTGACTCTGGTTAACCAGCATAAAAGTACTACAGTAGATTAACTATATTTGCAAAAGTGAAACCAGCGACTAATCATCTTGTTCATACACGCTGATTTTTTCCCCCTGACTAATTTCTCTTGTAGTGGGAGTAATTAACTTTATTAGTAACACTGACTACTCTGGTACCTTCGGGCGAGCACTGGTGGAGCTGCTTATTAGCAATCACAGTCTCACTTACACTGTTATTCTGAGTATTTCCTACAGGGAAAAATGCCTCTTGAATGTAAAGGGGTAGAGATTAACTTCCTTCCTAAAAGCAAGCAAAGAAATGTAATGTTGTGAACAAGGGGAGGGAGGAGGCAGAAATCCTAACTTTTTTACTTACTTGACTTTATTATCACTTTCAACTCACATTTTTGCCTCTGCAAGAGAGTGGGATGACCAGAGTCAGGGTCCACATCCTCCAGATGTGGGGTCTCCATGACACGTGTGGGTCAGCCTGGCCTTGACCCAGGAGACGCCCCATGTGACAAGGAAATCTCCTACATGGCTTTGCCAACAAATCTCAGCCAAGATTTTCATCCAGAGGTGCAGAGGTGGCAGGGAGTTACTCAAGCAGCAGGTAAACCTGGGACACTTGCAGCACAGACAAGTTGGCCCTTTGCTGGAAGGCAGGAGCCAGCCTGGTGCAATTCTCTGGAAACACGTTTGCAGCTGCCAACTTCTCTGCTTGGAAGCAGCAAACTGAGGAGCACTGTACCTGTTCTACCTCACTGTTCCCAAGAACACTTTCTCCAACAAGGACAGGCAACCTGGCAGGCAGCCGCATTGCTTGGAGGTTGTGAAACAGCTCCAGTGCTGAGAAGAAAGAAGGTCACGTACCCACACACTGACTGGGCAGCACAGCACAGAGCATGCGAAGAGGCACTGGCAGCCAGTCTGAGGGCTGTTTCCAGGGGTGGGGCAACCGGTAGCAAACTACACTCAAATAAACCTGAATGGTCTGCAGGAAAGGTCACAGGAAGAAAAACATCCAGGGAGAGGGAGGAGAAAGGCTCCTTCTGCTCAATTGGATCATTCATTGTTGCTTTTTCTACTCTGACCTCAGCTGACCATCCCCGCGACACATAAATCACACTTACAATGACTTACTGAGATAAAGACATAGTCCTTTTCCCCATACCAGGCCTAGTCTATTCAGGTTCCTTTTGTGTGTGAGAGGAAAGTCAACAAACCACTTCTGCTTTACCTGTTTGACTCTATTTCATCCATTCTATCCCTCGTCCGCAGCCGTTTCAGGAGACGTTGCTTAGAGCAGTTGCACTCCCAGACTCACACCCCAGTGCTAGAGAACACAAACTGTGGCTTGCTGGGGGGAGTGGTGTACCACTGAAATTGCAAACCACTCAAGTCCATATTACATAGACCAGATATGCTGGTCTTCCATATTATTGTTATTTATTTAAAGAAAAAGAGGAAATGCTAGGGGAAGCAGGTTGCTGCACTTGCTGGCCAGGCTCCCAGCCCCTGCTGGGTTTAAATTTTGCCACAAACATCTGCTCCCAGGCCCTGGTGCAGCAGCAGGTGGTGGGGGAGTCTGTGGAGTGAGCATAGCTGACCACCTCTACAGCCTGCAACAGTCCCAGGCTTGCAGGTTGACCTGGACACTGTGGATGGTACCAGAAGTTGGAGCAGAACTGGGATGTCACTGCTGGGCTCTGGCTGGCCCCAGGGCCACAGCAGCTCTGGCAAATGTGTCCTGGCAGTGTGAGCTTTGCCAAGCATGAGTGAAACAAACACAACACTATTACACAGGTTAAAAAAAAAGGAGAAACGAAGAGGTGGACTTGGGGGTGGAGTTTGTAACACCTAAATAATTAGGAAATTACAAATTTACATTACTGATCATTTTTTTCTCACTGACCTGTTATTTTACAGGAGCAACTCATCTATAAGCAGCCAAACAACACCACTTATCAGATAAAATTCATTTGCATGTGGAACAACTAGCTCTGGCTCTTTCCATGCTTTGTTCACCAACAATGGCCAAGACACTTTAAAAAATACCTCTGGTTCCATGAAGTTTAAAAAAACAAGACTGCAAAAAACCAATCTTTTTAATTCTTTCCTAAACACATCCATTTCTAATCTGTCTTTCTGTCCCAAAACCCAGCATATATTTCTCAGAGAAAGAGATTAAACAGCTACTGTTAATAATCATCACCAATTATATCCAGAGAGATGCCAGTGCCTCTGCATGGATGATATGAGACACAGAAACTGAAGAAAAGAGCCACATCACTGGAGCTGCCTGGGCCCTGTGTACAGTACCCTCCTGTCAGCAGAAACCAATATACTCATATTCCTGAGGGTATTTAGATCCAGGTTAAACTGAGGTGCAGTTTTGCACCTACACCTCTGGCTGAAAACTTCTTTCAAAACCTCCCTCCCCTGATGGACTTCATCCAGACCCTATCTGTTCTCAGTTTACATCCAATTGTTGGACAACTTCCTCTACATTTTAATCTCAAAAGCTCCTCCTTCCCCTGTCTTTAGCCCCAGCTGTAATAATAAAGAGCAATCACATCCTCTGTCAGTCTTCAGTGCAAAGAAGCTCAGGTCTGGCTCAGGTACAGGTGTGAATGCAACCCATCATTCAGTGGCTGATAAAGATCCAGTCCACCTACATTCACTTACTGCATTTACAGTAGGTAGGGTGAATAGGTATTTTCACCCTATAAAATGTTGCTTCTGAAACTAAAAGTACACATTATATAATCAGCTTTCAACATCATCTGACATTCCAGGTCTGCTTACATTAACGTTCAGCTTCCAGTCATTAGAGGACAGATTTGCTCTTTGGCAAACAAAGCAGAGAGCTTTTCAAATTGAAATTATGATCTGTCCTGCCCTCAAGTGCGTTTCAAGTGGGCCAGATATAATGGGATGTTCTCACCACTGCCTCATTGAAACACATTTGGTCTTAGCATTTAGGACTAACTTCTTCTTGCAATGATTAAATACATACTCCAGTCAGAGAGAGAACATTTGCTTGGGATGCAGAAACTAATCCCAGGCCCAGCCAAAGTCCGTTCCACTCAGGAGAAAATTATGGGTAGCCACACATCACTCACCATACCAGGGCTGAAATCCCACTGACATTAGTGATAACATTTAAATCCAGAGGAGAAACTGAAGGGTCACTCTGACAAGTGTTTGGTTTGGCTCTGGCAGTTGCCCTTTCTGTCACGCAATAGAGATTGGGCAAGGAGGGTTGGACTAGATGATCTTTCAAACTCCCTTCCAACCCCTAAGATTCTGTGAAGGAGAGCCCATAGTATAGAACCCCCAGCCAAAGCAGCTGCCAAGCCAGTCTTAGGTATTTGTGCTCCTGGTAGCTCCTTCCCCTCCCCTGCTCCCTGCAAAGTCTCCCCAGACTGTGCTTTTCTGGGATTTGTCTTCCTGTGAAGGTGGCAGTTGCCAGTTCAAGCCACAAATCCCTTTCCATCATCATTTCAGATACCAAAACACTGAAAGGGAAGTCGTTTACTCCCAGAAATAAAGGAAATAACCAACTTCATAGCTTATTGTCATTTCCCTAAAGCATTTGTAAGGTGAGCCAATATGTGGAAGTATCAAAAATGCTAGGAATGGGCAACTTTCAACTGTTGACCTGAGACTTTTTGCCAACTCATTGCCTCTCATCCTGCCCTAGCTGACAGAAGGGCAAGATGAAAGTGTCTTGGCATAAGGCAGCATTCAGTTGACTTTCCTGGTCCCACCCATTCTGATTTCCAGTTTCAGTCTCTAAGTCTCCCTGATTTCCTGAAGAAGATGCACAAAGCAATCTCTCCCTTCCTCTTGCACACAAAATTCTGCTGTAAGTGGAATGGAATCAGGAAAAAAGGTCGGGAATTTGTTGTGTGCAATGTTGTAAACATGAACCCTTGTTATTTGATAGAGTTGTCCACTCTAAAGCTCATGGAAAACCAAATTTTTGAACATATTGTAAAAATATGCTCCAGCTTTGAGTTTCCTAGCTCTCACAAATGCTACTATTTCTTTTTTTAAAGGTTTACAGAACCAGAGACTGCACAAATCCCTCCTTTAAATAAATATTTTTTGCTTTCCTCTGAGGCTAGGTAGGATATGTAATATTTAAATGGCAGTTTCTCCATTTTGTGGAGAAAAAAAAATGTTCATTTCAAGCAAAACAGTATCAAGTTACTCTCATAAGACACCCTTTCCACTTCAGATAAGGCACTTACATATCATCATCAAATGCTTACTAAATCACTCTATGTCAGGATCACTTCTTTGACATGTATTACCAAAAATAAATATCCAGTCATTAATATCAAAGAGCTCCCTCAGTACATTATGTATCCTAACACCTCTGGTATGTGAGTCCCAGACTAACCCCTCCTTAGTTTAGGCACTTCATGGAGGCACCCAGCAGCCACAGGGCTCTGTTTAAGTCTTGCCCAACTTTACACCTCCCCGGATACTCCCTCTAGCAACCCTGAGCTGCCTCAATGAATGGGTGATCCCAGAGGGTCATCCAGCTCACCTGAGATCAGATCTCCAAGAGTATTCTCTCGCTATATTAAATACAGAGCAGGTCTTAAGTCTTGCCCAGGCCTCCCCAAGAGCGTCAAAACATGGTACATGCTATATTCATGCAGGAGCTCTTAGGACCTCTCCTCATCAGTAGACACAGGGCCAGCACACTGATTCCTGCTGTAGAGACAGCCAGACTGCATGCTCCCCACAATATGTCTAATATGTCACTTCAGGATCTAAACTCAGGGTTGGTAGTAAGTAGCCCTAGTTTATACTATGTGAAACAAATTCATTTTGCATGGATGTGGAGCCCCTGCTCCTCTTTTTTTCTTTTTTCTTTTTTTTTTTTTCCTGACATTTCAGTATGCTTTGGTAAGTATTTGCAAGCACCAACTTCTCAGGAGAGCATTACTGTACACAGGCCAACCTAAAACCCCCTGCGCTTTAGACATCAAGAAATGAGATTAGCTTAGGTGCAACTCCTGGTCAAAATGTAGTAGTAAGGCTTCTCTACAGAGAAAAAAAAAACAAAAAAAACAACACAGCAGCCTGAAATGGTTATTCTGCAATAACTATTCCACACACAGCATTCCACCATTGCTATTTTATAATAGTACCCCTGGGGGACACATGGCTGAGTTAAACCACAAAAAAGCACTTTTCAGGCAGAGTAAAACTGTCCCCCCCACAGCGAGTGTGGACTTGCTAACTCTGGTGAGCTCTTGGCTCACTCCCTCCAACACTTCCCATTTGCATCCAAAGCTGACTGAGCTTTTGTCTTCTGGATTTTTAATCTGAAATATTGATATCTAATAGAACCCTCAAAATTAGAAAAAGACTTCCAGTAGCTGGCCAGCTCAGTCATGTTCCTGCTAATTTTTCGCTGCCATACAGGAGTTTCAATGCTTCGTTCAGATGG